TCTTCTTCAAATTAACTGACCCCATGACACTGGATTTGGATTCACCTCCCAGCTCTACCATTAACCTTCTGAGCCTTTGGGACAAGTCGTTTCATTATTCCACGCTTCTATATATTAAATGGGGATTTTCTTTGTAAAGAGCTTTGTTTTCTAATAATGAAAAGGATACCACAGTGGCACACAATTATCATTACAATAAAGGGAATTAGCACAAGGATTTCAGCTCAGTAACAGGAAGGAAGCAATTCTGCAAAAAAAGGGCTGCATGTGTATCTTAAACCTCTTTGTAAAGGTCTAGACCTTTGTTCAGACAAGCCTAAGCTTCCCCGGCTTGAAATGCAGCGTCTATTTTTTGGTAATGCAATCCCTTACCTAGTGTCAGCAGGTTCTCAGCAGCATTTATGAAAGCAACGCAATCAAATTTCTCAAAATCATCCTCTTTAGCCTGAAAAATACAGAAAAAAGAAATCATCCCACTCCAGCCCTAAATGGATCTGAAACAACTGAATCTCTCCTTTTCTCAGAATGCCTAAATCATAGCATTTCCCATAATTAGGTCTTCATTTGTTTTTCTGACTAAGGAGAGCACCCCTCAGAGTATACGTTTAATGCACAGCTGCCTCAGTGACCAACATCCAGAAGACCTGGATTAGTTGAGCCCCAAAGCAAAGTGTGTCCTCACTACTGACCTCGCTCCCCTACATGTGTTGCAGGGCTCCTGGGCCATATCTCATACCTATGTGTGACCCAACAAACACAGCCACCCTACGATTTAGCACATCTGTCCTTCAGAGCACCAGGAGGGAACCCTAAAAAGACCCTAAAAACCTATCAGCACCTCAGCTCATTTTCTTTTTGCACTGCAAGTTAGTTATGAACCCAAATAAAAGTCGCTTCTCAAGCTGAAGTTGAACTCCTACCAAAGCTGAGATAAACATCCCTAAACCCAAAGAAGAGCATTTTTGCAAGGGGATGTAAGTGGGGAAGGATCTACAACTGATGAAGACCAAGTTAATTTACGTTATGAAGACACGATCCAAAAGTTTGTAGGACAAATCCTCCAAGACTGTTCACAGCTGTCTGGCCCACCTTCCTGTACAGGAAATATGCCTGCTTCTAATGTGTGTCTTCTCTGATCTCTGGACACTCATGTGCCAGCATGGTAAATTTTTCAACTTTTAAGGCAGTTCCTTAATGCTTCTTGAGTCTCTGATACTCACAGAGACCAGATTTTGGCTGCTTATGTTCACAGAGCACAGGTCAGAGGGGTTCTTCAAACAGTGGTGCTTCATCTGGAAAAAAAACAAAGAAAACCCCACAAATGGTTAGTCCTACAGCAATTCTCTATGTCATGTCCTGGGACGTGAGCCCCAAAACCAGACCTCAGCTATGCCCAGGTGAGGGGGGCACCTGGTGCCTTGGATCGTGGGAAGGGGGGAGAAGGTGGCACGGAGATGGGGAGGGAGAGGGAGCTGCAGAGTCCATCCACCAGCAGGATCTCCCCAGCTGCACAAAGTGCTATCAGAAAGTTTAGGCAATAACAGAGGAAATCTGCACTGACCAGAAATGGCTCATCTAGGACATTGTCTTTGTTATTTTCTTCCATGGAGGCAGACTCTGGGGGCTTTCTCCTCTGCTGTGGTGTCTTCCCGGTGGTTCCCTTCTCAGTCCAAGCCCTCGGGGTAGCTCTGTGTGTCAGACCTGGCACAACAATGGACCAAGGCAGAGGAGATGGTATGGTGAACATGCAACCCTCTAAATGTGCCCTTCTCAAAGTAGCTGCACTCTGCCTGGTGTTTCAGCCCAACACTGAAATCCATCATTTTGAAATCCATCATTTTAAAATCCCCTATATTAGGAAATACTAGAGTATAAAATGTTCAGTGACCATAAATTTAAGGTAGGAACCTTAAAGCTACAGCCAGATCCACGGAAGAGGAGAAACGTGCTACTTTATAGATGGTAATAGAGCCATAGGTTGTAGGCATGGAAACATGGGCTGGAAGAGCCTTCTGGAGATCTCCAATCCAAACTCCCACCCAAAGCAGGACCATCAGCAATGTTAGATCAGTCAGCTGTGGCTTTGTCTAGCAATTCCACCACCTCCCAGGGTAACCTGGCCCAGAGCTGCACCTCCTCCCAGCAAAGAATTTTCTCCTAAGGTCCAACCTAAACCTCCCAAGGTGAAATTTTTGGCTTAGTTATGCCATCTGCTACCATTAAGAGGAGTTTGTAGCTGTCCTTCAGGTAGCTGTAAGCCACAATCTCCCCTTGGGCTCCACTTGGCCAGATAAAAAACAAACTCAGCACCCTCAACCTCTCCTAGAAAGTCTTGTGCTCCAGACACCTGACCAGCCTGGTAGACCTCTCCACCATTTCCCAAATCTTAGAAGACATTTCTGCTATTTCTAAGAATTTCACCGATGTAAGTCTCAAAGCCCAGAGAAAAAGGAGAAGCTCTAGCTCAGAATAGCTGTTGGAGAACCACGCCATGCTAGCCACGTGCCTGCCTGAAGCTTCCCTCCTGCTGGCATGTGGAAATGGCTGCTGGACCCCTCATTTAACGTGTGTCCTAGACATCCTGCCCTCTTCATATCAATGAAGCATTAAACAATTTTAAGACTTTCTGGGCACTGTTTTAAGTTCTGTTATCAACTGTTATCTGTCATCAGCTGGGATGCTGATACGAGAAACCACAGCTGAATGTACCCTCTATCTGGCCCAACAACAGGGTCGATGGTGGACCTGCCCCTATGGACACGACACTATTCTGCAGGGTGACTTCACCAGCAGCACTTGAAGAAGCATCACCTTCTTTACTTGCACACAAAATGTTCCTGGCAGGGAAGCAGTTAGTTGCATAGTTGCTTCCATCACCCCTTTTATACTGTCCTGTCGTAGCCATCTTGACTGCAGCATTCCTGGGGAAAGTGAGAAAGAAATAAATGGGTTAAAATTTTCACTGGCTCTAACATTACTTTGATTTAAACAGCTCTTTCCAAGCGTAGCCACAAATGAAGTGTTAGCCTGTAGGCAAAGGAACGCTGTCAGGGACACATGAGGAGCATCATCTCCTAAAACGGAGAAGTAAATGAGGTGCCAGGAATACATGCATTATTTTCCACCTCAAGATAGCAAAACGCAGACACTGGCGTGTGCGTGAGTCCAGCTGTGTGGACAATGACTCACGGGATTTCTGCTTTATCCCTCATTCCTCCTTCCCCGTATCCTTTCCCTTGGCACTTGTGGGGATTCCGGGAAAAGAACCACACCGGTCACCGCTCCCCACACCTCAGAAATGAACTTCAAAGGCACTGCATCGCTCTCATCCTGTGCCCCTGTAGTGGGACATGGTCTCCCAGTGCCATCTGATGGTGTCTCAACGCCCAGACACCGCTCTGACATACCACAGCACAGTTTGACTATGGTGTTTGCGCACAGTGCCAGTATTTGGGGTAGCTTTCCTCTGCAACAGGCGCACGCTGTGTGTTCATGCACCAATATAAGCGGGAGGGCAGCTTTGTGCAACGTTGCCATGGCATGGCACTGGCCAGGCGAAACGCTGCTTTGCCACCACGCAGCGACGCTCAGTGCAACGCAGATGCTGGCACTGCCAGTACACCAAGATGGCATTAGCATGGGGTACACCAGGACACCGGCTGGGGCACAGACCTCCGTGTCCTGGTACACACTCTGATACACATGCAGAGCCCCAAATCTACACGAATCTGTACAACCCCTACACACACGCTCCCCACGCATACCCCACTCACGCGCACACCCGATCGTGAACACACACCACCCTCACTCCTGACACACATCCCTGTACCGGTTCCCCTACCCTGACACACACAACCACCACACGTATACCCTCACGTGGACACCCATACACACACCACTCACACAGCCGCACACGTACTGGATACACCCCACACGTGAGCCCATACACCCACACATCCAACACACGCTCCTGTAACTACACCCCCCCAACAGACACCCAGACACCCCAGCTACCCACGACCACCCTCGCACACCCCTCTCCCACATACACTCCCACTCATCCCGTTGTATAACACCCCCCCGAAACACTTAACACACGCATCTATACACCCTGCTGACGTGTACCCCTACACACACCCACACAGTTACATGTCCACACCACCCCAACAGCCCCCACAGACATACCCCCAAACCCACCCATGAACACCCTCACCCACCCCATTCACACACAAACACCCCCCCACTCCTCACATACACCTCCTAAACACATCCCACCACGCACGCAGCCCACGTCCTTAACACCCCAAAACACCGACGTCCACGCACACCCCGCACAAACAAACACCCACGCACACCCCCACGCTCCCCGCGCTGGCAGGCACCCACCACCACGTACCCCAACACAAACACCCTCACACAGCCCCCCACTCCCCACTCTACCAGGCTCCCACACCCACGTACCCCCACACGAACACCCTCCCACAGCCCACATACACCCACCCCTCACGTACACCCGTGGGCCCCCTCCCCCACACACACCCACCCGCGACACCACAGACACCCACTTCTCACACTCCCCTCACATACACCCACTCCTCACATACACCCCACCACCACCATAGAGTTCACGGTCCTCCACGGCCCAGAGAGACCCCGCAAGCGGCTTCCCCCCTCCCCCTCCCCAGGCCCCAGACCCAGGCAACCCCCCCGGTCAGCGGTGCCCACCCCTCCCCCCGCAGACCGGGGGCCGCCCCAGCCGCTCTCCCGTCCCCGTTCCCCGAACGGGCCCCGCGCCGCCGCCGCCTCCTCCTCCTCCCTTCCGCGCCACTCCGTCGCCATAACAACGGGGAACGCGGGCGGGGGACGGCGAACTACAATTCCCAGCGTGCAACGCGGCGGCGAGGCGGTGGCTTTTCCGCCCGCCCGCTCCCGTCGGCCCCCGCGCGCAGCCAATCAGGAGCGAACAGGTTGCGCGGTGAGGGCGGGGGCGGAGGGTGGTGAGAAGATGGCGGCCAAAGGCGGCAGGAACGGGTTGCTCGATAAGGTACCGTGCCACGGGCTACCCGGGGCCCGGCCCTCCCGGGGTTCCCCTTTCCGGCGGTGCCGTCTTTCTCCTCAGCGGCGTCCCTATAGCCGAGCCGGTGCTGGGCTGAGCCGCACCCGCCCTGAGCTCGGGCCTCAGTGTCCCGTCCCGTCCCCCCCCACCCCGCCGCCTTGCTGAGGGGCATCCCCCGCCTCAGCTGTGGCGAGCTCCTCCGCCCGGCAGCACGGCCCCCCGTCGCTGCCCCCCGTAGCTGCCTTCTTGTAGGAGTTGGGCAGTAGTAAACGGCAGAAGAGGCCCCGGAGGGGAGCGGGGAGGGAGGAAGCGTCCCGCGGGTAGGGGACCGCTTCTTTTTTTTTTTTTTTTTTTTTTTTTTTCCTGCCAGCATGGCTGGTTTTAGCCCAGCCGTCCTGACAAAAGCCCGGCTAGCGGTACAGCTGCGCTCCTCCCGGCGGGTGTTTTGCCAGGAAAGTAACGCTGGACATGGCAGAGATGTCAGGTGGAGCAGAGCGTACCGTAGAAGTCTGTTGATAAGCCTAGTCTTGTCTCAGTAGTTTAAAGGAACTTGCTTGTGGAGCGGCTTTGATCTCGGCTGAGTTTTAAGCGGTCAGGTGTTTGTGTCACAGCTCTTTGTGGTATTTGGCAGCCTGGTAGCTGAAACTAAAGACCGGGAGGCATTTTTTTTCCACAAGAAGATGGAAGCAGTTGCATCTGTATCTCTGGGTGCAAGAGGGTGTGTCATCAGAGTGGTGTATTTGGCGTCTTTCATTGAAATTCAAAATACAGGTGGCTGCAATTGAAAACACATTGATTTTCATTCATTTATGTATATTAATCATTTCTAAAGAGTATCATTTTCTTGCATCTGTTTGAGATGACATTATCCTTACTATCCCTACAAATTTGGTGGTTTTTCTTCTGATCTTTAGAACAGTAGATCAAGTTGTCGAGCGAGTGCTTTTAGGGAAAGGTGTGCTAATTAATTATTTCTGGCTGTCTCCTGCAAATGTGCTCAGCTTTCAGTTTTGAAATGACAGCGCTTTGTGGTTAAACTTCAAGAACTCTGGAAAGTATCATGGTCTTGAGGCGTTCCTGTTCCTTCTGCTGTGCTCTGTGGATGCTGAGGTGTAGTTATTTCAGAAGAAAAGGAGTCGTTGGTGAGGGAAATACGCTGTTGGTGTGGGAGCTGAATCCTCTAGTGAGAAACCATTGAATAGTTTCAATAGGGCTTCTACCTGAAGTACATACACACACTTGATAATATTCTGTCTCCTTTTCCCTCTCTCCTCCATGTTGATCTGTGTGCCTTTGTTTCCTCCCCCTGGATGATTTAAATGAAATCTGGTCGTTTCTGTGAACTGGTATGTGTATTGCTGAGGTATTACCTGGAGAATTTTGGCCTTAGGTCCATAATTTGCTTGAGCTTTTCTCAAACATAGAAATAATGGGTTATCAGTGAGGCTTTAAAGTCTTAGGACAGGTTGCTTGTTCAGTGTATCTTTTCGTACCTTGCTAGTAAGCTGAATCAGGATGACATTAGGGAGATTTGTGTTTTAACTATCCCATTTTTTTGTCCTTCTCATGTTCTTTAAGTGTTTGTGATAATCAGGTAGCTCCCCTTGACCTCTCCTCACTTTACCAGGACCACCTAAGAGTGCACACCCACTGAATTCAAAATGGTGTGCAGCAGTGGCTACAGTCATCTCAAACGCCCTGAGATTTCACCCATTTAGCACAACACTAAGTTATTAACCACATTCTGCCCCTACTAGAGCAAAACCTTCTAAGGTTTTGCAAGTTCCAGGACTAAAACCACTTCCTGGCTACCAACTGCTGCGACTGCCTTCCGCTCCTGTGCGTCAGAAGGAGCTGTCTGGTACTAGGGGATGTTGACTGTGAGTACAGTCAGGCAGCACTGGTATTTTGGGGAGAGCGAGGTCCAGAATTCCTTCCTTCAAGGCAGAGGCTGAGATAATTGGAGCTGAGAATAGACACACTGACTCCCTGGAGTTTGCTACAACTCTTCCTTCAAGAGGAAGAGGAGGGAACTGAAGTGCAGTGAGGTGTCCCTGGACTGCGCCACTTGCAAATCCTGCTTGTGCTGGGGTCGTGGTGCGTGGTGTCACTTATTTTAGAATTTATGTCGCGGGGGGTTGGGACCTGTGGTTTGGAACTCGCTGCTCTGTTGGGTTGCAGCCCAACCTACAGGAAAAGGCAATCAGCTGCAGTGTCAGCTGTGTGCCTTCAGGGAGTCGATGTGCATCATCTGCTGAGGCTCTTCCAACCTCCCTCAGCTGCAGCATTGCGTGTCCTGGTTTGAGGAGTTTCTGACTTTAGGCTTTAGGAAGGGGAGGTTACTTTCTTTTCATCCTTGTAACAGAAAACACAGACCAGATGCAGAAACATTGTTCCCCTTGAAGAGTTTATATAGTCTACACTGGTGCTCCTCTTGCAGTGGCAACAAATCTTTTTTACTGTATGATTTGGTTATTTATGTTTCTAATACCCAGAGTGTGCCATAAACTTCAGAGCAATATTTGAAGAGACAAGCTAGCTACCCAGAAGATGTTGCAGGCTAAAATTGGATGTGATATAAATGAGGCTGACAGTAGCAGCAGAAGGAATAAGGCAGGGGCAAAAAAAGTTAAGTTTGTGCCATGTCTGTCTTCTGTGATGTGAAACATCTTGAAATTTCTCCCGTAGGATTTTTCCATGCCTTGTGCTTATGAGGGAGCTTTGTGAAGGGATTTAAATGAAGGTGATAGCTTGACAAATGAGCCCTGTGAGCTCTCAGATCCTGTGGTGTCTGCTGTGAAAGCAAGCACTTGTTTTGCTGTCCCTTTTTTTGGAGCTAACAGCAGAATGCTCCCCTGCTGCAATCCAGCTGCAGGCACCATCTTTACTCAGATGTGAACAGCTGGGGCCCTTGTGTGCTTCTGGTGTCAGACTGGTTTTGCAGCTTTCTGAAATTGCATTTCTGACCACTGGCTATATTTCAGCCTTTCCTCTGAAACCTTGTTCTTACACAGGTACACTTTCAAGTACCAAATCCACTTCCAAGCTGTGTCTGGCTGTAGAACACCATATTTGCTTTCCATTCATAATATGGGATGTGTTCAGGACAAGTATGATAACCTTTCACTTGGTTTTTAAAAAGGAGTCAAAACACACCCAAACTAAAAAACTGTTTCGAACTGGTTGGGTCGCCCCCATCAGGCTGGAACCAAAATCTGAGCTTTTCTTTTGAAGCCTTTGGAGCTCACACCTGAAGTGCTCAAAATGAATTACTGGTTGAAAAATACCATCCACTAGCCAGAGGAGCAGACGTTTTTGCATCTGCCAGGCTCCACAGGATGTCGGTGCAGCTTCACCTTCCCTCCCCACCAATGCAGGCAAGGCAGGGCAGTTCTGCAGACTCAAGAGGGGGTGGAGGCTTTCCCCCCTGTTTGAGGGCGAGTTCTTGGTGGTAGGGGCCAAATCTGTGTCTCTCTTCCAAGCTGAAGGTGGGGATGGCCATCAGTCAAAGGTTTTGCCCACAGTTGCACTGGTGTATAGACATCAATGTACAGATGTGCATATGTTTCTGTGCACATCTGGACACAGAGGTGGCATGGGTGTTGATTGTTGTCTTTGAGCACCTCCTTGTGCTCCTCTTCCACAGCACTGGCACTCCGGGTGCCAGCGCAGTATCCCAGCCTCTCCCTACCTCTTTGGTCCTGCCGATCAGCCTGGAAGAATTAAGAGAAGCAGCAGCAGCACTGTGGTGCTGTACCGTGTTAGAAATAACCTCATGGGAACTTCACAACCAAGGTAAAGGGAGGGCTAAAGCTTCTGCCTGGCTGAAGTCCTAAACCACAGATGTGTCCCCATTACAAGGTCCCTTCTGATGTGAACTGCCCTGAGATTATCAAGCTGTTACTGTCTTGAAACAGAACAGCCTTAGTCACAGGGAAGCCTGAACAAGAACTGAAGAACTGCTGGTTCAGCTCCTTGCTTTAGGCGGTCTAAGTTTAGATTTTTTTTTTTTTCCCCAGTAACAGCTTTATTTCAAAAAATATGTCATGTGGGCTTTACATCTACCCCTGAAAGTGCTGGTTCTCTGTTAGAGATTGGTATCAGTTAAATATCACTGATGTTATCTGGCAATTCCAGTGTCAGTGGCTTGGGACAGAGAGCAGGAGGCAAGAATCCAGTTCTCGCTCTGTCACGGGTTTCCTGGATATACGTTATTATGCCAGTGTCTCATATATGTTATTACGGCAGTGCCTTGACTCATTTTACATACAGATATTCCCCTCTGTGCAAATCCCTTCTGCAAGTGAAGTGTTAGCAGTCCTGTGCCTCCAGGGCTGGTTTCCAGGGTGCCTGTAAAATAGCTTTAAAATGTTGAGGGCTTTAAAAAAAAAAAAAAAAAAAAAAAGCTTGGGGCTTTTTTTTCTTTTTTTTTTTTTTTCCCAAGCTTTTCTTCTTGGTGTTTCCCAACTATTCTGTCTTCAAATATATCTAGAAAGCTGTTGGTTTTATTTGGGAGGGGAGGAGGTGAAATTTTTGCATAAGCCTTGATTCCATCCTCTTGGGCTTTAGGAATTAAAACCAGACATAATAAGATTGATTAAAAACTTGAGCATTGACAAGGAGATAGTTGCATTGTGCTGTAATACCAGGAAAACTGCTGTTGCCGAAAGCAAAGATTCCAATATTAAATGTTTAATCGTAAAACATATCACAAAAACAACACTTGAGTAATATCTTCTCAAGTATCTCTGGATTCTTGCTCTCACTTAGGAACAAGCTGTAGAACACTGTCATATTTTATACTAAGGATTGTCTTGTTTTAGCCCTAGAAATGTGGAAAACTTATTCAAAATATTTGCTCAGATATATTTTTTACTTCTTCAAAATGATTCCTTTAGTGGCCTTTGGAAAAAAAAAAATCACAGCTGTACTTAAAGGCAGATCTGGTCTGAAGGAAGGCTTCAAATGGCCTGTGGAGGTTCCTTGTGGTGTCAAAAACTTTTCACTCATTTTGTTCTTTATTACTTGTAAAAAGCATCAGGAGGAAGAGTTAACCAGCTATAAAGACTGAGCCTCTTCATGGAGTTTTATCAATAACAAAAACAAACTCTGCACGCTGAATGATGCCTTCCCTCCTGCGTAAGGCTTGCCTTCGCTTGACCTGTACAACTACAATAAAGGACAGAGTATTTCCCCACAGTTGCATCCGAGTTCAGGGTTCGCTTATCGGTGTATCCAGTAGTGAGTCCAGCTGTGCTGTGTCTTGCATGTGTCTTACTAGTCAGTATTTTTGTCTTTTAAAATAACAGGACTTTTCTGCACACTGCAAGAATAATTCTGTAGCTGATGCTGTTTCAGGAGAGTACTCTATTTTAGGGTTTTGCTAAGCAGAGTACATTTTCATGTTGACAGGCTTGTTGGCTTTCCCTCCACTCCCTCATGAGAAATGGAGGCTGCACCTGGGAGCAGTGAGGTCAAATCCGAATGGGTTTCTTGGAAGCTTTTTTAATTTATCTGTAGGATAAGGAAACAGGGATTGGCTGTTGGTGTTATTACTTAGAGACTTCTGACTTCCAGTTCACTAATTAGGAAAAAAAGGTATTTTTCTCCTCTCCCTAGTCTAGCTGTTGATACTTAATCTTTGGGAATCTCAAAGGGCAAGAAATAAAACTGTTATAGATGCTTTTATAAGGAAAAATAAATAGTTGAAAGAATTCTTCTGTATCCTTTCATGGCAAAGTGTTTGGCTTTCAATTGTCATGTGTCAAGGTGTCAATTAACCCTAGAAAAAAATGCTACAAAAAAGTAACCACCTAAAATATTTTGTAACTTTGTTGCGAGTGCTCTTTCCATGTTGTCCCTGTCTTTTAAATGCTTCTGGCTGTAGCTTTTGTCCCTCATAAACCAACTACTGCATGTGCACACACAGTGATGTTTGCTGTGCACCTAATAATTCATACCTGCAGAGCCTGAAAGATAATCAGGCTTTTCCCTGTACGAGTGTAGGGGAAGTAGATCAGGTTTTACGTCTTACTTTAGAATGGTTTCATTCCTGCCGGAGAAGGGAAATGAGCTCTTCTGACAGGTAGTTAATAAATCCAATTTCTGAGCTTCAGGAGCAGGAAATAAAATGAGTGAAGTTAAGAATTGCTTCTAATGGCAGCTAAAATTCAAGCTCTGACTTAAAATACACACGGCTCAAACTCATGTGTCTGACCGTGGCTAAAAGGAATAGCGTCACCAAAAAATAATATAGTTCAGAGGAAAATTAACCCCTTTGAGAAGCTGAGCCGTTGTATCTGAGATTCGTTATTGATGAAGGACCCGCTTCTGAGGAAAATCTGAATATGGAAGAGCAACAGAGTCTTTTGCTTTCATTCTGGAGGATAATCTGACTGAAACTTCATTTCTTGTTTGTGCCTTTATATTCTTGCCTTGTACTTGGATTGTTAAGGGTGCCCTGAAATTTTCCTCCTCTCATCAATCCCCAAAGAGTCTGTTTGTAACAGCTTGGCTGAAAAGCATGAACACCCTCAAAAGCAAGAATTAAGTCATAACTGACACTTTCTGTGGATGGCAGCAGGAGCAGCAAAATGCAGAATCGATATTAGGATAGAACTGATGTAAAAAGTCACTTCACCAAATACCTTCAGTGCCCACAACAAGATGTATAAGCTTAAATCTGCAAGGGTAATGGTACATTGGAGCTGAGGTGATCTTTGGTGCGATACTGCTGTGTAACAGGCCCTGGATTTCCTCCATCTCTGGTCAGGTTTTCCCAAACAGGTAGGTATTTTCTGGGTTGCCTCCTATCTTTGTGCTCATGACAGGAACAAGCATATTGAAATGAAAGGCTAACCTGTGCCAAATTCTCTTAACTCCATTTGGTTTCCATTGCAGTGGAAGATTGACGACAAGCCGGTAAAAATTGACAAATGGGACGGTTCAGCTGTGAAAAATTCTTTGGACGATTCTGCCAAAAAGGTACGTTCTGCGACTGCTGATTTTTTCCCTCTTGGGAAACACTCTATTTTCTTAGATTTCTACATTTAGTTTAAAAACTGTAAACTTTTTTGGTTTGATTGTGAAGTGCCCATAGCCGTGCTGGTTCTGTGGCATCTCTTCTGATTCCCATGGCTAAAGCAGTGGTTGTTCTTGGAGTATCAGCAATTATTACAATGTCTGAGGCAGACATTAAATCTGCATAAAGCTTCAGCTCAGTTTACCCCTATAATCGAGACTTGTTTTATCTAAATCCTTTCCAGAAGTGGTTTGTCAAATTTATGAAAAGCCCAAAATAAACTCAGCTGCGTGTTTCTCCCGCAGGTTCTCCTGGAGAAGTACAAGTACGTTGAAAATTTTCGTTTGATCGACGGCCGCCTCATCATCTGCACAATCTCTTGTCTCTTCGCAATTGTAGCTTTGATTTGGGATTACCTGCACCCTTTCCCTGAATCCAAACCTGTTCTTGCATTTTGTGTTGTATCATATCCTTTACATATGTTTTCTTGTTTATACCAGAAGGGTTTTATTTTCCCCATAAAGCACAAGAAAACCCTTCTCTGTATTCTCATTTTCAGGCCTGTGGGAATTTTACTGCCTGTGGTGTGGTGATCAGCTGAAGATCAAATAGTTTTCATGTGATGGCAAAACTCCTGTCTGTCTGGGTGCAACGCACTTAAATTTGGGTGATATGGGGGTCCAGCCTTCCCCTGTAGCGGCGTGGAAGCCTGGACAGCAATTCAGCTCACGTCAGAGGAGTCAGCAGCTGCCTGGGCAGCTGATCTGCTCTCCAGGCTCCTGACTGGGTTGGGCAGATTCCTCAGGTCTTGGACGCCAACTGCATAGAGACTCTTCCACTTAGGTGTGTTCATCTCAAACTGAAAATCAGGCCTTGAAAGCTTCGGGAGTTTGCTTTGTGTTTTGGTTTTTGGGGGGGTTGTTTGTTTGTTTGTTTGTTTTTAATTCTACCTATAGCCTGGTTACAGAGACACCTGCTCTTCCCTAATATGACAGATCAGGTACCAAGAGTGAAGAGTAAAATGGAGGTAATTCTTGCCAGCACCTCTGCTGAAAAGGAGCAGATGCTGCATTTAGGAGGGTAGTGCTACAAATTGGGGTTTAAATGTTTAGATGCCAACCCTGTTTAGAATCAACTCTTAAATTTCCAGTATTACAGCATGGCTGGGGTGCAGGGGGGGTTCCCTATTTGGGCTCAGAGCGTCAGCATGGCACCGATTTCCCTGCAGCTCCTCTAGCAAGACAGGTGCCTGTAGAGGCTTTACAACAAATGTATGTGACAGAAGAGCTGTGCTTTCCAGGAGCTGCTGACGGGCCCGCTTTCAAAGGCGGTTTGGATGGTACCAGTGAGATGGCGTGAACTGGTAGCCTGGAAACTTATTGCTGGCCTGGGAGTCACTGTACCGCTAAAGGCTGCGTGATCGTGGGCAAGTCATTTCATTGTTCCAGGCTACAGTTCTTCTGATTGGATTTGGGCACAAATGTTGAGATAATAAGTCTTGCAGCCACTTAAAATGATTTAATTCCAAAAATGACAAAGATTAATTGCTTTATCTGTGCTTAGGAGGAAAGCACAGCAATTAATTCTGTGACTCATTTGGTCTCACCTTTTCCCACTATCTCCCAACAGATGTTGCTCCAAAAATTTAGCAAAATAATTGAAAATAGCATTTTGTTGTTGTGATTTCCGCTTTACTTCATGGTTTCACGAACGAAGCATTTTATGTGGCTGGAGAAATCCCTTTCAGGAAGGAGCATAGGGAGTTGCCGCTTTCCCTGCTGCTTCCAGGCATTGATTTATGCTCTTGTGCAACGGCAAAGATTTAAGAAAGTGTCCCAATTATTATTTAATTTCTCATGCTAACAAGGCATCAGCCAAGCTTCCTGTTTGGAACGGTAATGGCATGAGAGGTGGTTAAATGATGGCGTCTGAGGGGATCCAAGCAATTTCTCTGCCTAATTTCTATTTCTAATTGCAACCTCTTAGTTTTCTTAACTTTTTTGGCACATATTTTGTGATGATGGGAATCCTGACTATCTATACCTCATACAAAGAAAAGAGTATTTTCCTCGTAGCTCACAGAAAAGACCCTGCAGGGATGGACCCCGACGACGTTTGGCAGCTCTCCTCCAGCCTCAAACGGTATCATTGGTTCTGGCAGCCCGGGCTTAGCGAGCGGGAGTGCGGCGGTGCAGTACTGGCACGGCTTCGGTTTGCCTGTGCTGTGCACGCCTGTAGCTACCACGTGCTCTACGGTGGGGCAGAAGAGCTGCATTTTGGATAACTCCTAAACAAAATGGGGGAAAATATTGGTGTCTTTGCAATAGTGGGGTGTCTGCACTGGGCATGTGAGCTTTCTGCAAAGGATCAGCTACTGTGCCACGATCTTTGCGGCTTCCCAGGCAACTCGTGATTAATACTCACTGCAGAATGTTATTACTCAGAAGTAACAGTGATCTGTGACGGGCTCGCTGGTCTCATGTGCACTGTTTCCATCCGTATCTCTCTGTGGCATCACCCTAAATATTTTCCTTTATTTTTATACCTACAAATCTGTTTCATTCCATGAAAATCTAGATGTCCCAATCTAGAAATGGGAGCAGTGCCAAGCAGTTACCTGCCACAAATGTTCACATTTTGCTTCTCCTTAATTGGGGCAGGGGAATTGATCACAAAAAATATAAAAATACTGAATTGTGTTACAGTTAACACCTGCATGTTGTAGCTGTTAGTGTCCATGTGGGGTGCTGGGGACGGGGACCTCCATTCCTGGGGGCTTTCCCCTTAACAAAGATGAGGCTTTCTCGTCAGCTTTTTTTTGGTGTCTTGTTAACAAATTCTGCTCTGAAATCTCTCTGCCCTTCCTCCAGGTTTGATGACAAGTACACCCTGAAGCTGACTTTCATCAGTGGGAAAACCAAACAGCAGAGGGAAGCCGAGTTCACCAAATCCATCGCGAAATTCTTCGATAACAACGGGACGTTAGTCATGGAGGCCTACGAGCCGGAGGTGTCCAAGCTGCACGATAGTCTGGCCCTGGAGAGGAAAACAAAATGATTTCTGACACCACCTGCCTCCTGGGAACGTGCTAAATTAACACCAATAAAGTAAAATAGCAAAGAAAGTGAATCATTGCCTCTGTTTTTGTCCTGAAATCCTATTCCGTTTTGGATGAGCAGGGTTTTTAATCTTGGATCCAAGGTTTTTGAAGCTACGGAAAGCCTTGGTCTGTGTCCCTGCCTTTCTTGTGGTGGACCGCAGAGGAGGATTTGCCCGTGGGGACCCTCAGGAGGGGGGACTTGTCACCCACGATGCCACCCTGACTTCCTCTGTTTTTACCTGGCAGTGCATTATCAGGCGGCTCCATGCCATGTAGCGCCTGGGATTTACCATTTGCATTTCACTAACGTCGCCTTTCCCTTTTGCAGTAGGAATTCAGGACAAAGCCCTTCTGTAAAGCAACTGTCTGCTTGCAAACAAGTTTTCTTTATTTTTGTATTTATCTGATTGGGGGTAGAGGATTGTTTTATATAAAAAAAGCCTTGTTGGGGTGGGGGGGGGGGGGGAGAAGACAAATATGCTACTTCTGTATGTTCTGCCCGCGATGCTTATCTACCAGGTGAAAAAAAAAAGGAAAGCAAAGGGCTTTTCTGAGCTGTGACTGTCCCTGTTGATCCCGCTGCCCCTTTCCTATTAGCATACCCTTCGATAAAAAGTCATTTT